ATTTTTAAGACAATCCCGTTTGTGTTGTGTTGGAATCTTTGTAAAACTTCTTTTTTTTTTTCGGTGGAGGTGCATCGGTGATTAATCTTGATGGAAATGTAAAATTTAAATTTTCGAGTAAAATTTAATCATGAAAATATTGGTGGTTATTATAAAACGAATAAAAATTTCTCAGATTTTTTAAAAATAAAAAATACGTATTATAAAAGTAAATAATTAATAATTACCGAATGAAATTTTCATCTAAAATGAATAATTCCTTAAATTTTGGTAATTAAAAAGAAAAGCGCTGCACTTGCCTCAATTTTTCTCTTGTGGGTTTATGGCCCCCAGGTTGGGAAACTTTGAAATCAACATTTAGTAGAGAAGAGGGCACCAGGTATCAAAGTTTTGGGATGGGTGCGAGATTTAAGGGCCAGCCCTGCATTGTTCTAGTTTCACGTGTCATGCCTCTTCTGGATATCTCAGTTTTCAGTTTATTCCCTTCGTAACTAAACTCTCAAAGTCATGGCACGTGGAAGTAGAACAATCTGCCGTCGTGGACCAAATAATGGGTTCGGTTCGAGATTCCACCTTATATCACTTGAAGGAGGCTGGAGCGTACATCGTCGTGAATATGACTATCTAGGAAGTATTTGAATAGAGGGCGAAAACTGTGACAGTGAAATCTGAAGGCGCATTGGCATAGAGAAAGAGGTCTTCCAAAAGCTAATCAAAGTATTAAGAAACAAGAAAAGTTAGTTTGAGACAAAGAAAAGAGTACTGTAATCTGGGAAATGTTTGAACAGAAGTCGGAAAGTGTGACACTGAAATCCGAAGGCGCATTGGCTTAGTGAAAGATGCCTTCCAAAAGCTAAGCAAAATATTAACAATCAGGAAAATTTCGTTCGAGACACAAAAAAAAAAAAAGAAAAAATAATACTGCAATCTGGGAAGTGTTTGAATAAAGTGCCTAACTCTTATGTAACATAGATTCTCTTATATGACAGTGAATGCTGGACACTCTCATCAGAGATGAAGAAATCTAAGGCTCCAGAAATGCCGTTCTACAGAAGGATGCTGAGAATCTGTGAGTAAGGACGAAATGGAAACAAAATGATATTTATCAGAAAGACAACATTGAGGTCCCTAGGGCGGATAATGAGGAAAGAATGCGTAGAAAATATGATACTCACAGGACATATTGAAGATGGGCAGAGGAAAACAACGCATAACTCCTACCTAACGAGCTTGTGTAAATAATTGGCAGAACAGGGCAAGCTTATTAGAGAAAAGTATGTGCTCTCTATCGGGATTCGAACCTACGTTCTCCCTCTCCGCTAGGGTAACTGTCTAATAGATCTGCTAATGAGATTTCTCGAAGGTTTAGACCGGTAGACGAAAATAAATAATTATGCTGCTTAATAATTAAACGGGGCGTCTGTACAAATACGAGTATCCTCTAAAAATAACATTTAAGTAAGACAAATCTGCTTCTTTAAAATTGCTTTATTTACATTACGATACGAAATTGAGCAGATATGTGCATTTCAAGAGTCAAGATATAATCTCAGTTTAAAGGCACTATTTAACACACGCACACGCAGACGCACACATGCGCATACACACGCATACACACACACGCGCGCACGCACACACACACACACACACATATATATATATATATAATAAAGGCGAATATCAGTGTGTCACATTTTTCAGTTAAAGGGACACAACTCTCTAACTTTCAATAGCTCATGTTACAGAAAATTTGGGTTCCCAAGTTTTCATTACTGCGATTGTTTTCGACGATTCTTTTTACGTGATTTTTTGCAACGAACTTTTCTGTGCGATAACCATTTTTATAACTTGGAAATAAATTTGCGAATAATGGAAATTAATTGAAAAATCCATCGAAAGTCACCCACGGAATAAAAATAATTGTTTGTAAGGAAAGTAAGGACCTACGCACATCAGATTGTGTTTAAATTAAGTGGCGGCAGAAGAAATTAACGTTGAACTTTTAAAAAGTAAGCTCAAAAATTAATACAATTAATTTATTGTTGCTTATCGCATACGGCAAGGGTATGCCTCGCAAAAAGAAATTTCCGCCTACAGAGGACCAGATTGCAATCAAAAGAACCGGGGAGGGAAAAAAGTCCCGTACAAATGAGACCCGAGAGCAGACGACAGGCAAGAAAGCTTCCAATGCTGAGAATATGCAAAGCCTTAAGGACTATAAAACTCCCGAAGAAAACGAGGACCCAATGAATATCCCTCCGCAGAAGCATAATGAAAAAAATTACCGTAATGGATATCAATGCACAACTTTGCATAAATACTTATACCAGAGAGAAACATATAGTTTTGTACTACTTGCACCCCTGAAGATGATCTTGGAAGAAGATCGAAAGTACTTGGGAAATGAAAATAAAAGAAATTTAAACAGCTATAGCACATTTCTCTCATCCTTTAACATCAATACACGGAAAGTTATTCGTGAGTATGAACGGATTTTGTTAAAAATTAGCAGACATGATGTCTGTAATTTATTCAATCAGACAATATATATATATATATATATATATAACATTCCCACTACGAACAAAAGTGATTATTTCGTTCATTTAACTCTGCAAACGGAAAACCTTATCAGAAGAATGAGATGGAAATCTTACTTCTTTCTTCAAGACAAGGAACCAGTGTGTGAACGCGAAAATTATAGCATACTTATGTTATAATTTTTATAAATAATAATTATATATATATATATATATATATATATATATATATATATATATATATATATATATTCATCCATAGATGGACTGTTTCGTTGTATTTATAGCTCATCAGTTTGGTTAGACATGCGATTACTTCAAGCCGGGATCGAAACAGGATCGATTTGACTTCAGTTAGAGACTCTTACCGACCAATAGCGCACGCTAATATATATATATATATATATATATATATATATATATATATATATATATATATATATAATATTGGCGATTTTTTGTGTTGGGTAAATGCGGCATATTGAGAATTTTGTTTGGCTTCTAGTTTGCCACAAAATATTATACGCTATAATGTAGGCGTGTACTATTTTTCTGATGTTCGATCATACAAGGACCAAGGGCCACACAAGGTAGAGTGTTATTGAAAGCTGCTGTTGCGTGAACGGTAAAAGCGCAGTTTATGCCTATATGTGTGAATGCAAGACTTGAAATGGTCAAGGAGTTAGCGGTCGGGAAATCCCCCGCCGCCGATCTTGTTCCACTAAACAGATAGGAAGAAGCTATCCGAGTGGACCTTACTCCTTACTAATGGAATACGAAGGAAATGCGGGTTGTTCATTTCAATGTACGTGACATGGCGGCACTTAGCTGGGAAGATTCGAATTGGAGGAACAAAGCAATTTGCCTCGTTTGATATATATATATCTTAAGTATTTCCGAAAAAAGAAAATACAGCAAATTGTATCAACCATAGTTGCAAGGTGTGGCATAAATGCTGTTAGAAAAATTCAAATGGCATAAACTTCTAAATTTTTGCTCATTACATTTTTTTTATTGTTGTGCTGGTGAGAGGGAAAAGTACTAAGAAGAGGAAAAAAGTAAAACAGTTAGGTCCTGACCGTCCCCACCCCAAAAAATAGGTATTGAGCAAAATTTCATTAGAAAATTAGCTCGGGGGAGTTGTTGCGTTGGAATATTTCACTCTCCCTATTACCTATTGTGGACTGACTATATCAATAATATATGCACAGGACATACCAGAATCTGTCTGTCTGTCAATCTGACGGGAGTCTAGCTGGAATCTGTTCCAGTTATGCTGTCGAACACTCTGCCTTCGGGCAGAGAGGAACCCGGACGAGACTCTGTCCTTCGGCAGAGTCTCGTCCGGGAAGGTAGACAGGCCCGATCCCATTTATGCGGGTTCTACGGGGATTTTTTGGCCGAGCCTACGGGCTCGGGGACCCAACATTAACTTCGGCCTTGTGACTCCATCTGTCCATCTGACTGACTGGCTTCGGAAAGTGTTAGTCGATTCCCTTGTCTTTCAGTAGTGTATTTTCTTTTATAATAAACCTCTCTTTCTTTCATCTACGCCCGTGTTGCTGTTCCTTCCAATTGAGTACCACGTTTGACTGTTTGGAATCTTTTTAAGGATACAACATTTATCGGTTGTTAATTTTTTTCAAAAGTCTTTTAGTATTTACGGGGAACAGTGACGATAGAAATTAAAAAAAAATTAAATAAGTGAGCTAACATGAAAATGGACTAATTACACCTGAGATTTTTACGACTGGAAAACAACTTGGAATCAAGAAAATGTTTATCAAAAGAACAATTGATCATTACAAGAAGACTTCCTTCATCAAAGATAGGCCGACACCAGGATGTCTTTGCACATCCAGAATGCCAAAACTCATTAGACAGGTAATCAGGCGTAATCCAAGATGCCTGTTAATATATATATATATATATATATATATATATATATATATATTAGCATTAGTTCATTTCATCTTCAAGCGAATTTTCGCTTGAAGATGAAATGGAACGAATGCTTTTAATTTAAAAATTTTAATTGCAAAATTAAATTCGGTTTTTTTTAGCTTCTATTAGCTTCTATTTTTGAAACATGGTTGGAACTGTGTAGCGAAAAAACATATTTTAAATCAATTAATTTATAATATTAATGCTCTGTAAATTTACATTGAGCACTATTTTGTAAAATAAAAATATCTATAAGAACACCGGATTTTATATCTTACTGTTCTTTTCTTTTTTATTTATTTTATTTATATATATATATATATATATATATATATATATATATATATATGTCATCCTGCATATATGTCGCTATCTATCGATCTCAGCCTGTTTCTATAATGTGTATCTTATTTCAGATATATGATATATTAGCAACAACCTGTGTGTTAGAGAATCATTGTATCTTGTCACTATTATATTCTATATTATATAGATTATTATATGCCAGACACAGAAATGACGCACGTGGTGGAGAAAATAACTGAGCATTTATCACGCATTATCTATCTATCTATCGCAGTCTGTTCACTTGTAATATATCTATCAGGAGCATCTCTTAAATCAGCTCTTAACAGTCGCATTTAGTAAACGATCTATCTATCTATCTATCTATGTCAGTCTGTTCACTTGTTATCTATCTATCTATCTATCTATCTATCTATCTGGATTATCGCTTAAACCAGCTCTTAACAGTCGGATTTTGTAAACGATCTATCTATCTATCTATCTATCTATCTATCTATCTATCAGGTGCATCTCTTAAATCAGCTCTTAACAGTCACATTTAGTAAACGATCTATCTATCTATCTATCTATCTATCTATCTATCTATCTATCTCAGTCCCTTTATCTATCTATCTATCTATCTATCTATCTATCTATCGCAGTCTGTTCACTTGTAATCTATCTATCTATCTATCTATCTATCAGGAGTATCTCTTAAATCAGTTCTTAACAGTCGCATTTAGTAAACGATCTATCTATCTATCTATCTATCTATCTATCTATCTATCTATCTATCTATCTCAGTCTGTTCACTTGTAATCTATCTATCTATCTATCTATCTATCTATCTGGATTATCTCTTAAACCAGCTCTTAACAGTCGGATTTTGTAAACGATCTATCTATCTATCTATCTATCTATCTATCTATCTATCAGGAGTATCTCTTAAATCAGCTCTTAACAGTCACATTTAGTAAACGATCTATCTATCTATCTATCTATCTATCTATCTATCTATCTATCTATCTATGTCAGTCTGTTCACTTGTTATCTATCTACCTATCTCATTCTGTTCATATCTACATAGTCTATTATTTCTTTGTGTTCATATCTATCTATCTATCTATCTATCTATCTATCTATCTATCTATCTATCAAAGCCTGCTCATCTATCTATCTATCTATCTATCTATCTATCTATCTATCTCAGCCTGTTTATACGTGGTGTTACATAAATGCTGTTACAAATTTTCAAATGAATTTCTAAAGTTTTGGTCTTTCTTGTTGTTGGTTTCATGACAATGTATAATATTTGTTTTTGTTTTTTTTTCAAATTGTTTTAGTATTTAATGATAACGATAGCTATAAAAATTAAAAAAAAAATTAAACAATTGAGCAACATGAAAACAGACTGACTCCACCTGAGTTTTTTTAAGACTGGAAAACTACTTGGAATCAATAAAATGTTTATCAAAAGAACAATTGATCATTACAAGACTTCCTTCATCAAATATAGACCAAGACAGTACGTCCTCGCACTCCCAGAACGCCAAGACTTGTAGGTGATCGAGGTTTTTTTTTTCTAAGCGTTGTGATATGAACACGTGTGGAACTCCTGAAATAAAGTCCTCTATAAATATGGCAGACTCGGAGAATGAGTCTACCTAAAAGAAAATGTAACAATAAAACAACAAGAAGCCGATATACATTTACAAACAAACATGTGTATTAGACGTGTGTGTGTGTGTGTGTGTGTGTGTGTGTGTGCATGAACGTAGAGTTGGTTTTTCAAAGTATGTTCGTACGAAAGTGTGTGTGTGTGTGTGAGGGGGCATAATGTTCCTGGTGTCTTCCCAAAGAAAAGCATAGCGGATCCACGAAGGGGAAAACGCAATCTTCTGCGAGAGCCTACATGGTTTGCAGAGTCCGTTGAAAACGCAAGAATGTGTGTGTGTGTGTGTGTGTGAGAGAGAGAGAGAGAGAGAGAGAGAGAGAGAGAGAGCGAAGTATTCTCAAGTATTTAAAGTTTAGGGATAGCGCCCCCTAGGAACAATTTGGACAATTAGGAAATTAAGGAGGAGTTAACTCCGACAAACTCATTAAACAGATGCGTTAAGAAATCAGGCGTAATCCAAGAACGTCAATGAGAAAATTGTTTAAGTGGGGGCGGAATATCGGAGTGAACGATGCTGATGCTATGCGGGGGAGATACTGCTCTTGTAACAAGGACGAATGGCCTACCTCATCACCAGAATATCAACGCTCCTGACTATTAATTGTTGGTAGTTATTGAGGGCGAAGCTGGTTCAACATTGAAGCTCTGAAGGGAAAATTAAAGTGATTATAAGGAGGAAATACCTAGGGTATCACCATCAATGACTTCCCCGAAAGACTTCGACGTTTAGTGAAGACTAAAGGTAAACATATTGAATGAGATCGCTTGGTTTTATTTAGCAGATTAATATTTAATTTGTGTCAAAATTGTATGCTTATATAATAAATTTTTCAGACGTTATGAGCATTCGTAACAGTATTGTGACGTCTCCCAGCCTTGCTCGTTCCTCGCTGCTTCGTTCGGTTGTCACCGCTCCCAACGTGATGTCCGCCTGTCTGCGTCAGTCGTGCTATCCCGTCCTGTGACGACCAACTGGCTTGGTATTGGTCGCGGCACCCAAATGTGACGTTCTAACCTTTTGGTGATTCGGATGGGAATCTGGTTAGATTCGATATCAGCCTCGTCGTTCCTAACTCGCTTCCAACGTCTGGTTACCAAAGTAACTGCGTTGATCTCCAGTCTGCCTACCCACGTTGTGAATTGATCTTAGGCAGACGAAATCAATCAGTCGTCGGGGCCGTAATGCAAGCTGAGTTCGAATAAGGGTGGTATCGCACAAATATGTGTAAAAGGAAATAAAATAATAACTCAAAAAGTTCAAAGGTATATAAAAAAAGGATAACAGTACTTTATATCTGGTTGTTGGATACATAGGACTGCGTCTATCTTCCGACCCGCTATATGGATTCTTGACACGTTGTTTTTGTTAGGCGAGTCTTAACATCTTAAGTTGTCTGTTCTTTAAGAAACTGGTTCTTGGTGTGTCTTCAGGCGATAGTCGTAAAACTTGTTTTGGTGGTATGAATCTAAGTCGCTCTTCAACAAAAAAAAAAAAAATAAATAAATTGTTGTTGGATTGAAGATGAGTTCGGAAGTTGTGCGAATCTTAGTCAGCTATGCGAGGCTCTGCCAATTGCCAACTCCAACCGGATCTGGATCTGGAACTGCCCGAACTCCAACTGATTTTCGCTCGCTGCGACTTTGCTTATATGGACGCTGACCAAAACCGGGGTGGGCTTTGTCGGGGTTTGAGGTTCCCTGACAATTCCAAATCCACAATCCCCTTCTTTTCTTCCTTTTCCTTGCATCCCTAAATGGTGTCACAGTATTTCTGTCGAACCATTTAGTTCACGTAAATTTTATCCTGGTCAATAATTATTGATGATATTATTTACACTATTTACATTCAGAATATTGTCCTCGTCTTTGTTGTTGTTATCACGAGGTTTCGGCCGTTGTGCCCTCCGGCCTTCATCAGATGTATATCGACCTAGCTAACCTACAGGGGTTTCCCTAACTGAACCATTTATTTAATTCATGGTTGGGTACATTGTGTCTATTCCACTCTCAATGTCTAATTTTCTGTAGGTTATCCGAATCGATATGAAGGCCGGAGTGCACAGCAACCAAAACGTTGTGATAGTAAAAACAAAGATGAGGGCAATAGCACGAATGCAGATAGTGCGAAGAATGTTCGCTGTTAAGAGTCTTTGTGAGCTACTTGATTGAAGACTTTTCAATTTAGAAGCATCTTATTTTATTTTATAAAGTGTTATATTAATATTTAAATATCACATTTTAAGTCAGGCAGAAGAAAATACTTGGGAATAATAAAGCATCGATAAATGTTTGATAACTACGAGTTTGTTCACGCCCAACACTTGTTCGTCAATATGCTTGGAGCCAGACACACTCATTTAGCTGACCGGCGTCCTGTGTTACACGACCGATGGGTTTTTTCCATTTTTTTTTTTCGATCATAAAATGTTGAGATGTTGAGTGCTTCCCCGTGCATGTATTGAAATAAGGACAAACACATACGTAGGGAAAAATACTGGTATATCTGAAGAGGTATTTACAACAGAGAGATTAGTATTCAAACGAACGCAGGTTAGTCAGTAACAATCAGAAAGAGTATAAAGTCCAACTGTATCTTCCGGTAGAGAGACGGAAGTGTGATGGTCACCTGATCTTCCCAGAACTCTATAGAACTGTCCTATTAGTAGTAGAGAGATCAGTCCATTCTGATGAGAAGGTGGGTGCTCAAAAAAAAAACATGGGTATTTATTTATTATTGAATGAAAGTAAATTTCAGTTAAAACTATTTGGATAAAACTAAAAAAACAAAGAAAAACTGAAAAAATATGTTTTGAACTAAAACCCGACAGAACAAAGAAATTATTTCTTAAAAATGGCGACCCTACAGAAATTTGAGAAAATGTTTTTATTGTAGACGGAATTGAAACAATTATAACGTCTTTTCCCTGTCAATATTTAGATTCATTCACTGAGACATTTTCCTAAAAGTTTTCAGGACCTGGAACATTGTGACAAAAGGTTTCAGGACCTAGGACATTGTGATGGAAGGTTTCCCAACCTGGGACATTCTCAAGAATTTTCACGACCTGAGATATAGTGATAAAATGTTCCACTAAAATGCCTCACGACCTGTGATAACATGATGCGAGACATGGGACGTTGTGATAAAATGTTTCACTAAAATGTTTCACAGCCTGGCATATTGTGATAAAATATTTCACGTGCTGGGACATAGTGGTAAGATGTTTCATTAAAATGTTTTACGGCTTAGCATATCGTGATGAAGTGTTTGACGACCTGGGACATTATGGTAAAACATTTTACGATTTGAGGCATTGTGTCAATTTTCTCGATCTGGGACATTGTGATAAAATATTTCGCTAAAATATTTCACGAATTCGCACATTGCGACGAAAAATTTCACGACTTGGGACATTGTCATAAAATGTTTCACAACCTAGGAAATTGCGATAAAACTTTTACTAGCTGGGAGACTGTGACAAAAAACCTGGGATCTTCTTGTACTGAAACGTTTCACGTTCTGTGACATGTTGCCAAATAGTTTCACACACCTGGGAATTTATGATTAAAAAAAAAAAAAAAAAAAAAAACAGAAATAAAAGGAATTAAATTAGTTAACAACTCATAACAAACAATATTTATCCAATATTTTAAAAAAACTGAGGATTAGCCTATATTTCTGAGATGAGGTATTATGTACATTATTTACATTATTCGGACTATTGTCCTCATCTTTGTCGCCATATTTATTACAAAGTTTCGGCCTTTCAGTATCTGTCCATATTTCTGAGATGAGGTATTATGTACACTATTTACATTATTCGGACTATTGTCCTCATCTTTGTAGCCATATTTATTACAAATTTCCGGCCCTTCAGTATCTGTCTACATTTCTGAGATGAGGTATTATGTACACTATTTACATTATTCGGACTATTGTCCTCATCTTTGTAGCCATATTTATTACAACGTTTCGGCCTTTCAGGATCTGTCTATATTTCCGAGATGAGGTATTATGTACACTATTTACATTATTCGGACTATTTTCCTCATCTTTGTTGCCATATTTATTACAAAGTTCCGGCCCTTCAGTATCTGTCTATATTTCTGAGATGAGGTATTTTGTACATTATTTACATTATTCGGACGATTGTCCTCATCTTTGTCGCCATATTTATTACAACGTTTCGGCCTTTCAGTATCTGTCTATATTTCTGAGATGAGGTATTATGTACATTATTTACATTAGTCGGACTATTTTTCTCATCTTTGTCGCCATATTTATCACAACGTTTTGGCCGTTGTACGCTCCGGCCTTCTTCAGGGGGTTGGAATGTCGAACTGAACCCTTTATTTCGCTCATTGAGTTAGACTGTTCTAGTTCCACGTGCATTGGAATTAACAGGAGATAACTGATAACTGACATCCATTAGACATGGCACATTTTTTTTTAGATAAAGGGTTCAGTTCGACATTCCAACCAACTGAAGAAGGGCGGATCGTACAACGGCCGAAACGTTGTGACAAATATGGCAACAAAGATGAGGACAATAGTCCGAATACTGTAAATAGTGAACTGATGACCACTTTTGAAACTTCCTTTCATGTTCGTGAATGATCTTAC